TTGCCCCGAAGCGACAGCGGCCGCTGTCCCGAAGCGACAGCGGCCGCTGTTGGGCAGGCGGTTCCTCGTGTCTAGAATGGGCAACTTCCGCGGCGGCACCAACGGCGAGTCCTGTTCAGAATGAGAAGGACCTGCTACCGGTCTTCGTACCCGTTCTTTCCGTACCCTTCTCGGTCGTACCAAGACCTGGTCAGGACGCCGCCGCCCCCGGCGAGGCACTGGTGCACCTCCGCGCCGCCGCAGCGCTGCCCGCGGCGCACGAAGCACCAGGACTCGTGGGCGCCCGCCGACCAGTCCCCGCAGTAAGCCCCGCCTGCCACCTCGGCGTGCCGCTGCGGCGCCGCGTGCCCCGACAGGATGCCGTCGCTGCTGTCGAAGGGGGATCCTGGGGAAATCTCTTGCCCGAGTCGGGCGTTGGCAGAACTGGTTTCAATGGGACCTGGTTTAATGATGTGTACTGGGGGACGCCCCCCCCGCCCCGTTCCACTAACCCAAACTGCCGTCACCCGAAAAAACGTCAGCTACGGCAGACCTGCATGGTTCAATGATTCTAGCCAATTTTTGGGCTCCAGGGCCCTACTACTAACCGGGTCTCCTTACCTGGGGTCCTGGCTATGCCCGACCGAGACAGGGGGTCCACCACACTCCATGAGCACGAAGGGTACGCGAGTCCAGCTCGCTTGAAAAGGGGGAATGCCCCAACTGCACAAACCCTTTCCACACTGGCGGTAACCAGGTGGAGCCTTTTCACCGGAATTCTGGAGTTCGAGCTCCAGCGAAAATCTGCACTGGCCAATCAGGCCCATGTAAAGGCTCTTGGGGGAATCCAGAGATTCCAGTACCTCTACTCCCTGGACCTCTGCCAGGGTGCGTTCTGACCAAAACTTCGATGCGAGTGCAGCCGCGGCGACGATGGCCTCCCAGGAGACCCCCAGAGGAGGGCGAAGACGAGGCAGGAGTGGTGGTATCGCCACAACTTTTCCCCCGCCGATGTCCGGAGACGTTGGTGGGCTCCCAGTGCGCGGAGCAGACGCACGCGGTCTCCTCGTCGACGGACCAGCCGCGCGGGCGGGCGCAGACCTCCCGCAGCCGGCGGCAGGCCGCGGACGTGCCCCCGATGCCCACTGCGGGGTCGAGAGAGTCGTAGAAGCCCTGCGCCGCCTCGCGGGGAGCAGAACTTACGCACGGTCGTCGTGCTGGTCGTCCGGGGCGCAAAGCAGCGAAGGGAAAGACCTCTCGAGCCACGGCGCGCCTCGGCCTTGTGTTACTTGTGAGGATCGACCAGGCCGCAAGAATCACAGTGTAACACGCGCAGTTTGAAGGACAACGCGCGAGCCACTGATATAACGCATCGTAGTTTATCGCCCCCGAACCTCCACAAAGGGGTTGAACGAGGGGGAATAATCAAAGGGTGGTAACGAATCAACTTATTCCGGCGGGTGGTAATGGCGGGTGACGTTAAAGGGGGTGAAAATATACTCACAATGGGCCCCTTTCGGCCCCCTGTTGGAATCAGTAGGGACCCAAAAGGAACTGTAAAAAGGGCCCCTGTAGGGCTCCTAGTCCTAGTGTCCCCCCATGTAAGTCGCCCCCCGTTCCCGCCCCCCGTTCCCCCCCATTTAAGTCGCCCCCGTTTCCCACTTGTCCTGGCGGTTCCCGGCGCCGGGAGCGACCGTGAGCCGAGAAACGCGCTGGGCTGCGGGTCTGAACGCGGCTGCGCGCAGCAGTTTTCGTGCCCTGATGCTTGTGTTTCCGTCGGACAACTTGCCTTCGCTCGGACGTCCCTTCCCCGTGCACTGTTTGTTTAGGGCTGTGGTGGCCCAAGGGCCAATTTTCCCTCTTGGCCAAAACGTAGCTAGTCGAGGGTCCTGGCTCGCATGTGAAGGCGGCCAAATCCGCGTGAACTTTCTCGAGTTCGCGCCTTGCCGTGAATCGCGTGAACGCCCAGAACAGGATGACAAATACGGAGAACCGTTCGCAGTGCGACTCGACGACGACTTGGTTGCGCTGCCCTTTTCGCCGATCGCCCGGATCACAAATGCCGCGGCGTTCCCCTCCTTGCAGCAACACGAGCAGGGAAGGGGGACGAGGAAGGGCGGAACAAGGGGAAAGACCCAGGCGGGTCCGCGATCCCCTGGAACCCCGACGGAAACACCGCCAAAAACAAACAAGCGCCCAAAACGATGGGGTAAAAAACGGCCCCCGCCTACAAACCCAAAGCCGGGGATTTATTTACTGGTCGAATTTAACTCGGGACCGCGCCCCCCCCAAAAAAATTGAAAAACGCCCAGGACCAGGCAAACCGATCACGAAAACAACTTGTATGGATAAAGGGGGAAGCAACGGATTTTTTTGGGTTTCGCACACACATACTCATGTGTAGCGCGCGAGCGCTAAGGTTCTAGCTTAATCCGGGGCAGCGGCCAAACAACGGACGGGGGGGTCGAAGGCTGAATGCACTTCTGTTTTTCGTCGGGTTTCGTGGGCCGTGGTTCGAAAAGCTTTTGGGCGCTCCTCATCCCCAAACGGCCTGGTGAGGCCGAAAACGACACCTCTCCTCGTCCTCCTATCTCCCCCCTCCTCTTCCACCTCCCCCCCTGCTCGTCCTCCTCCCCTGATTGTCCTCTCCTTTTCCTCTTTTTTCTTCCTGTTCCTCCTCTCCCTCCTCCTCCTCCTCTTCCTCCTCCTCCGCTCTTCTTCGTCTTCCTACCCCTCTTCCTCCTCGCCATCCTCATCATCGCCATGTTGCAGAGGAGGGGGGGGGGGAGGGTGGGCGGGGGGGGCCAGGGGGGCATGGGGGGAGGAAAGACTGGGAAAAGAGCGACCCCCCCCCCCCCCCCCCCCCCCCCCCCCCCCCCCCCCCACCCCCCCCCCCCCCCCCCCACAACCCCACCCACACCCCAACGCCCCACCTGAGCAGGAGGAAGTGGCGGAAACGGAGGAGATGGAGGGGGAGAAGAAGAGGGGGAGGAGGAAGAGGAAGAGGAGGGCCTCCCTATAATGTTTCTTTCACCCGATGTGGCGCGGTGCTTGCGCGGCGTTGCGGCGCCGTCTGGGCCACGCAGGCCAGCCAGGAGGAGGGGGGGTAGGGGCCAGAGGGGGAGGAAGAGGAAGAGGAGGAGGAGGGAGAGGGGGGGGAGGAGGAGGAGGAGGAGGAGGAGGAGGAGGAGGAGGAGGAGGAGGAGGAGGAGGAGGAGGAGGAGGAGGAGGAGGAGGAGGAGGAGGAGGAGGAGGAGGGGGAGAAGGAGGAGGAGGAGGATAAGGATATGGCCGTCGGGGGTCGTGCTGGCCGCAACTCTGAGCACTTTGACCCCTGGGCACTTCATGGAAGTAACCCCTTCTGCCAACTTAGTTGGCTCGAGGAACTGCCGGGGGCGGGCGACGCTAGGGCTGCTCTCGCGGGCCCTTCGCATCGCTGCCCCGCTGCATGAGTCAGCTGCTGCCTCCAGGGCGGGCGGCTGGCTCTGAGGGTCTCCTCCCCCTACCTCGCTCCCCCCCGCTCCTCTCTCTCCCCCCGCTCCCTGCAACGAGGCAAGGTAAAAAAGGTGGCCTGGTACCTGTTGGTCGAGCCCGCTCTCTCTCTCCCTCTCTCTCTCTGTATCGCTCGTTCTGCTGCTGCTTGCATATGGAAGTGCCGCGCCCCGCAGGCCGCGGCTGAGACAGGCTGAGCAGGCTGCAGCAAACAACGATTGTCAATAAACTGGCTGCGGTCTATGCGCGTGCGCCGCTCGCTCTAACTCTGTGATGCCCAGCCCCCAGCCAGCCTTAGTGGCGACTTCCTCGTTCGTGAGCCTGGCGTCTCCGCTCACCCTGTTGGTGGTCGGGGCCTCCATCAACGCGAAATGAGTCGTCCACACCTGTGCTGAGGCCGACGGCTTGTGGCACTCTGCGCGCCTCTGGGCGACGACTGCTCCCGTTGGCGTCAGAGGCGCAGGGTGCTGCTTCTCGTCGGCAACGTCGCATCCGAATCCGTGCTTGCTCTTCGGTCATTTCGTGTAGCAACCCTCCAGCTCGCCGCTCTGCTTGCGGCCTTAGTCCGTTTCCCACGGGACTGGGCCCTTCATGGGCCCCGATGCGTCTGCCACATAGCCCTTCAGCTCAGTGGCGATCTGGCTGCAGCTGGCGTGTCATGATCTCGATACCTTGGACTCGCTCCATCTCCTCGTGCACGTTCTCGCTGCGAGAGCACTTCAATCGTCCGAGACTGGTGGTCGGCCGCTCCTGCTGGCGCTGGGGCGCGACGATCGCCGTCTGGACGGGGTCGTTGCACTGCCTGGAGATCTTGTTGGTGGCTTGCATGCTGGACTGCGCGATGTTGAGGCGGTATTCCATGCTGCCAACAACCTGCTCGCCCTGTCCTCCACGGTACTGAGGGTGCTGCACAAGAGCTGGAGGAGGAAGTGGGTGCTGCATCCGCTTCTGCTGGATCTCGTTCCCCTCGGCGCCGATCGTGTCCGCGCCGTCCATCTGTCGATTGCCCGTCGGGCTGCCCATTGCTGTTGGAAAGGGCCTCTCCGCGTGTCGCTGTCCTGGGCCTTTTCGCGCGTCGCTGTCCTGGGTTGGCTCTGTGACGTTCGGGCCGAAAGAGCTACGTACAGGGACCGTAATGGTGATCGTGGTCGGTGGTTCCCTTATTGATCTTAGTTGGCTCAGTTCTTTTTGGGATAGTTTCCTTGGTCGGACTGTCTGCCCTCGTGTAGTACTCGCATTGCACATTCACTAACGACAATCCACCGTACATGGTCGTACATAGCAGCCTCGTCCCTGACAGCGCGACCTGTTTCCCGTGGGCCTCCGGGGGCATTCGGTGTCTGTATGGGCTTCTGCCTTGATCGCGCGTGGGAGTGGGTCGGGAGGAGGGGTGGGAGTTGGCTCTCGTCCAATTGCAGGGGGGGTAGTAAATGCCCCCTCCCCCTCGTTGGTTACTGCACCATTGTATAGTCGTCCCTAATACGCATGTCCCTGTAGTAAATGGCAATACGTACTGGGTTACCCATGAACCCACCGTGTTGCTGTGCTTTGTTCTTCATAGCCTGGAACCGTACTAAGTCTTGACACGTTGCCATTGCTATTTTTCCTCTCTCGTTTCTGGCGGCACTGCTGGTGGCCAGCGAGCAGGGCAGACACTGTTGGACATCGCGGGGCCTGCAGCACATGGGGGCTCTGGCGGGCTGCGACGTTGCGCTGGGAGGAGGAGGAGGGGGAGGAGGAGGAGGAGGAGGAGGAGGAGGAGGAGGAGGAGGACGAGGAGGAGGAGGAGGAGGGAGGGAGGAGGGAGGGAGGGAGGGAGGGAGGGAGGGAGCGAGGGAGGAGGGAGGAGGGAGGAGGGAGTGAATGAGCGACGCCAGTCGCGAAGCGAGTTCGAATATATAATTACGCCCGCTTCCGAACCAATTCAGCCCGACTCCGATTCTTCGGCCACGGTCCCGAATGGAGTCGGTTCAAATGCCCGGCTCTGGATGGGAGCGTTCGCTTGTGGCATTCTTGCCCAAGCCCCCGAAGCACCTGATCTGCATAGTGTCCACAACGACAGCAATACCAAAGGCGAAACCCCTTATGTAATTGCATCCTGTGGCTTTCGATTATCCAGCCCCCAGCAGCGTGTAACTTTTCCCCTGGTGGCGAACGAAACAGCACCCCGTCGATGTTTCGTTTGCAGTGGTCTTCTGAAGGTCCTGAATCAACAAACCAGGGTCGCCCACATCAGGCCAGCCGGCCCAAGCTGAATCTGGAAAATTCCACTCGATGGTCTCGTCAATGTCAGCACGACCTGGAAATGCCCACTTGGTAGAGGGGGGAAGGGGGGAGGGGGGAGGCAGGAGGGAGGAGGGAGGAGGGAGGAGGGAGGAGGAGGAGGAGGAGGAGGAGGTCGGAGAAACCCTCCACCTGGAGCGAGGAGGAGGTCGGACAAACCCTCCACCTGGAACCGACCTGAGCCCAAAGTGGCTCGGTGCACGTGGACAGTGTCGCCGCCGTCGCCGTGGCCGAATCGTCGCTCGCCGATCGGCGGCGTCAACTGTTGTCATCGTCGTTGGTCGTCGTCGTCGTCGGTCGTCGCCGTCGACGACCGTCGTCGTCATCGTCGATCACCATCGCCGATCACCGTGGCCGATCGTCGATCGCCCACGAGCCCTCCCCCCCACACCTCCTCCCTTCCTCCT